ACCCAGAAAACTGTTGGCTGCCTTGGCCACAAGGGCACATTGCTGGCTCATGGAGATCTTGCTGTCCACCAGCACTCACAGGTCCTTCTCTGTGGAGCTGCTTCCCAGCAGGTCAGCCCCTCACCAGTAGTGGTGCAGGGGGTCATTCCTCCCCAAGTTCAGGTCTCAACACTTGTCTGTGTTGAATTTCATTAGGTTCCTCTTTGCCCAACTCTCCAGCCTGCCCAGTGCAGCCTTCCGGTGTGTCAGCCACTCCTCCCAGTTTTGTATCATCAGCAAACCTGCTGAGGGTCCACTGTCCCTTCATCCAGGTCTGCATATCCACTAACTTCAGCTGTGACAGCTCAGAGCCTGTTCTCTGCCACATCATCAGTTCTTTTGCAGGCATCTTGCAGCTCCCCAGCTGTACGGTCTGTCCATCTGCTCCTGGCTCTTTTCAGAGAGGTCACTGCCCTCTATGGAAGTGGTTGCTCAAGTCTTCATCCCAGACAGCAGGTAAGTTCCTTCACTTTGGAAGAGAAAGAAATGACAAGCATGATAAGGGTGAATGAGATTTGAATCCTGTTCTGCTGCCCCAAATATGTCTGTGTCCTGCCCTGAGCACACTGGGTGTGTTTTCGAAGCAGGAGCATGGGAAGCAGCCCATAGTCCTCTTCCATTTGGGCAATATCATGCTCATTTTATTTCTTTTAAACATGTTTTTTTCAGCAAACAGACGCTATGACCAAGTTCATCCAGAACTCTCAAGCCCTGAATTCTCCAGACCTGCAGCACTTTGCAGCTTCTCTTGTGATGAACACTCTGCCATCTCTGAGAGTGGAGCCCCGAAGCTTCGGGCGCGGCGGCGCGCTGGCAGAGATGGCTGTTCACATGGCAGCTGTCCTGCTCTGTGGGCACAGCCCCCTCCTGCAGCCCCTGAGGAACCTGGCCTGCCACCCAGACACCATGCAGGTACAGAGCTTTAGCTCAGATGGCATTAGCATGCTGCTCTCCCACCTCTCTGCTGGGTCCCCTGTGATCTAACCTACCGTAACTTCACAAGCACCAACTTGCTGGTGTAGCTGGGAACTCCCAGTGCATGATTACTGCAGTGTTGTTGGGATTAAGTAGCACTTTTCAGGGTACCTCTGCCTCCTTGAGCAGCATCAGACAGTTTTTCTGCTGTTTGAGTGCAGAGCAGGTCCAAAAGCAGGTGGCAGGTTGTGCTGTGGAGACCTGCATGCTCTAGAGGATCATGGCTCATGGAGCCCTGGCTGGGGTCAGGGTGGAGGCATCTGCTGCTCTCTCTGGCTATGGAAGGCATGAGGAAATGTACCCTGGTGTGCACCAGCACATCGGGCCACCCCGAGAGGAATCCAGTATGTCTGGAGAGCTCACATGCAAGTCTTAAGAATACTGACAGCTCTTGGAGTGGATTTTCAAAGGTAGAACCTGTCAGTGTGTGCCTACATCATCTGTGTGACCTTTGCTCTCACATCTCTTGTGCCCCATCATGAGTAAAGAATCAGTGAGCGACTGCTAGGGTTGCCTATGCCCTACCCTAGCCCTGCAGGTTAGGTGTAGGATTTTCCTCCAAGAGAGAACTGGTTTGTCTATTTATTCATCACCTTTTTTCCTTTTTTTCCCCTTAGCATTCTTTTCTGCCCACAATGCCAGAGGATCTGATGGCTCAGGCGAGGTCCTGGGGAGAACTGGCTGCCCTGCGCTGGTACAGTAAGTGCCCCTGACTGGCTGTGAAGCAGCTGAAGGCCAGTCCTTGGTTTGTGAATGAAACTTCCAAATGTGTAAGATTCCTTGGGTTCCTGCATGGGCCTGTTGCTCCCCTCAGCTCTGGGGCAGGCAGCGTTTTTGATTAGATCTTGAAGCATATTTCTTGCCCCAAGATGAAAGGGAATAACAGAGGCTCTGTAAATGTCTCCCTGTAACACTGTCCTGTTCTTCTCTTGCTAGCATGTCGAAATGGGCACCCCTGTGCTGTAGGAGAGGTAAGAATTGGAGACTGGTGGGTTTTTCAGCAGGTGGGGTTTTCAACAATTAGTTTCTTTTGTTTACTGGTTTTAGTGTTTTATTGCACAGTGGTTAGTTTTCTACACTCTGCATTATTCATCATTTTGCTGTTGTAACATAACCTTTAGGATAGCTCTAACACAGCTTATACCATCAATGGAAGAAATGAGAGGCAGAGGACCCTTGCTCAGTATATAGCAGGTTTTGAATTAACCAGTTGCAGCTTGATTTGTGTCTTTCTCTGCTGGAGGGGCTCTTACCCTAGAACTCAGTGTTCTCATTTTGCTTTTTTTGCTAGTGTGGTCTCCCCAAGGAAACCAGCTACTGCCTTGACTGTGGTGCCCCAGTGGGAGGACTAGACCATAAACCACTGCAGGGCTTTAAGGAATTAAGGTAGGCTGTGTTTCATTAACCCTTTCAGCACTAAATTATGTGGGACTTGCTCTCAAGGCAAAAGGTACCAACCACTTCATGCTGCTGCCTGGAAGGTGGCACGTGGGACTCCCCATGAGCTCAGTCTTTGGCCTCTGAGGGGGAAGAGGCTCTGCTGTTAGGAGTGCTGGCACAACTGATTTCACAGAAACTGCCCTAAAAGACCCTGTCAAGCTGCTGGTGTAGGGTTTGTCATCTCTCTGCTCATCCAGGCTGATGGAGGTTATGATGCAGGTGGTTCTACACCAACATAGAGTATAGGCAACGTTTTCTTAAATGGATGAGCATGACTGAACTTCTGCCAGAGCTCTGGTAACTGTGACTTGTGCTTCTCCCTCAGCTGTCTGGATTAGCACTTACAGCCCTTGTGTACTACTGTTAAAGCTGCTAATTCTAACAGCAGTGGCTTCTTGTCCATCCAGCATGGAGTTGGCTAACCTTGCTCTACAGGGCTGGATGTTGCCTGTTTCATAGAAAACCTCTTAGGAAAAAATGTCCAAGGAAGAATTATCAGCCAGCAAAACAAAACAAATGGGCTTATTTGTGTACAAAACTTACTGGAAGTCCTTGTTCCCCTGCAGTACTTTTAACTAGCAGCTTTCAGAGCGTTCAAAGGACCTTACTGGGTATCAAAGACATCTCTTGTGTGGATGTGTGTTTTTTCATGGTGGTGTTTTTTTTTTGAGGCAAAAAATACTACACTTGTTGCAATTTCCAACAGGAATACTGGGGACAGAACTCAAACTGGCCACATCCTTGGAGATGTACAACACAGGAGAGCCCTGGGGGTGTCTGATCGGGCCATGTCACCCCTTGTCTTCACTCTCCTGCACCTGCTCACGCATCTGGCCATGTTCCTGGGAGCCACAGAAAATCCTCAGGTATCTCCCATCCTAGTTCCAAGGGGCTACATGAAAAGTAGTGAAACCTTTGTATGGTGCTGGTTCTTCTTCATCAGCTTGCCAAGTAGTGAGAGCAGTCATTGAAGATACATGACCCAAATTCACCTCCCTCCTTGCCCAGCAGGGATTTTGGTCCCTTCGTGCACTTACATGCACACACACATCCCTGCCTTTGTTCAGGTGGTAGGAGTCCTGTAGGACTGCATTGACTGGTAACACACTAGCTCCACACACGTGCCCTGTGCTTGAACTGGATGTAATTTGCCATGCTCATTGTTGCCTTTTGTTGCTTTTTAGGCATTACAGAAGATTATCAAGCCACTGGTGCACAACTCGATGAGTTTCCTGGAGGAGCACATTCAGGAGGACTTGGCACAGCTGACAAAAATTTTGGGGAAGAGTGTTGATGAGACTATCAACATCTTTCATCTTGTTCTCAGCAGCCTCCTCAAGGACCCTCATCAGCACCCAGGGCAGTGTAAGGACAACTACTGCTCATATCCCATCTGTGAGCTCCAGCAGCATTTTAAGGGCAGCAGGTGTTTAGCTGCTTTGCTAACAGACCATTTCCAACAGGCAGTAGCTGAGCTGAGGATGGAGATCAGAAACCTTGAGGCTTGTTTTTTGCTGTAGGGAGTGAAGGATTTTTTGGCTATTTCTCTTCTGGCTGAGTACATGGAGTTTGCAAGGTGTGGTGCAGAACTCTGAGGAATTTCTGAATAAGTAACCTCCTGATGTGATAGAGCTTTCAGCTCACAAGGAGAGGGACTATGCAGAGCACAGTAGCTCATGCTCTGTATAATCTTTATACTATACTGCCTCTAAGTGACTAGCAAGGAGCTGTTTGGCAGGGAAGGGATGGCAGAGTAGGGTTCACAGTAGAATCTGGAGTTGAAGTTGAGTCATTGTGCCATAGAGGGATTTATATGCAAAACCATGGTTCTGGTGTGACAGCACAAATCACTGTTCCAAGGGCTGTTCTATGGTCTGACCTTGGACAAGTTAACTTTTCTGGGATTATGAATGACTTGTATGCAAGTCCACATCATTCAAATGAATGACTGGACAGAGGTGTCTGAAAACCTGTGATCAGTGTGTGCCAGTTTGGGTGACACTCTCCAGCTAGGCCAAGATACTCAGTTAGCTGCTGGGACCCCTGTAATTGCTCTTGGCTGATCATGCAGACTTGCAAGGATGTCACATCTGGAAGCTTAGAGGAGTTGTGCTTTTTTAGCTGAAGCATTGCAGATGTGAGAGATTATTCTTGTTGCAGGGCCAGTTAGGTTTGATGGTGTGCTCTCCACCAAGGAGAAGAGAAACAACTGGGAAGAAATTGTTGCAAAAACAATTATTGTTCCTGAATTGCAGGTAAGAAATTTGCTTTATAAAATTTCAGTAGCTGAGCTGTTCAAAATCCACTTACTTGGAGATCTGACATGCTGTAATATCTGTGTTGCAATTTTCACCTAGCTCTTAAAGCCAGGCTGTCTCTGACACAACTGCAGGTGAACTTTAGTTTGTAAGGGTCAGACAACTCTAATCTACCTGTGGAAATGAGTATCTGAAGCTGGAGTTGTGCTGTGTTGATTTTCTATGGTTCAAAAAGCAGAAGTGTCTTAGTTTCATTGAAAGTGCTTGTCCAAGTGAGCATATGGTGGCTCCAGATGAATCCTGTCTGCCTCCCCTCACCATCATCTCCAGATTAGAAGACCTGTGAGTGGGGTGAGCTGGAGAACAAAGAATCATTCATGGTATAAACAGTATCTTGCAGGATGTTTTATGTTCATCTTCTGCTTTGACAGATTTCTGTCCCTGATCATCAAGCTGTTAGGGAAATAGACTCTAGTGGAGTTTCAACATTATATCAGACACTGCCAATTCTGATATCATTTCTTTTTCTTTTAATGCAGGATTTGGATAAAAAACTTGTGAAGTTAAATAGACAAATACAAGAGGATGAGAGAATTTCTTCTAATCCATTAGTGAAAATAGTCTATGGTGAGCCAGCTGCTTTCCTGTCCCAGCTGCCAGAGGACAGTCACATACATCACTCCAAGATGTGGAGCTGCCGAAAGAGGATTTCAGTGGAGAACCTGGGCCACATAGTCCAGCAGAAGAATGCTAAGGACACTGTCCCTCTCCTGTGGAAGTTCCTGCAGAAGGTGGGTGTGACACAGGGATGAGAGAGTGCAGTGTTCAGGGATCAGTTCAGAGCCACGGACCAGGTGAGGTCAGAAGGGACCTCTGGAGGTGATCTGGTCCAACCCCCTGCTCAGGCAGAGTCACCTGGAGCCAGCTGCCCAGGACTAAACCACTGTTTGATTATACAGTGTCTTTATTCTTATAACTTTCTATAATCTTGAGAAGTGCACATGTAAATGTTTTCATTGAAACATTTAAAATCTAATTCCATAAAAGCATTCAAAACTGGCTTGTCCAAGAACAGCCTTACTCATGGGTGCCCTTTCCTCTTCCAGGAAACAGAGCTGAGGCTGGTTAAGTTCTTACCAGAGATTCTGGCTCTGCAGAGAGACTTGGTGAGGAGATTTCAGAACACAGCTGATGTCAAGCCCTGCTCCATCAGGGACTTCCTCAGTGAACCCCTCTCAGGTGAGAAGACTGGCAAAACTGTAGCTAGTGAAACAAAAAGCACTGCATAGTCCTGATGAAAATGCAGGTGAAAATTTATCTTGAGCTTGCAATCTTAAGCCCTCATAACTTCCTTTTAACTCCCATCCAAATGAACTGAAGACCTTGACCCTGGAATTACACTTGGAAAATTCATCAGATGACATTAAGGAGAATTAAGCACAGGAAGAGTGTTCACAGGAGGCAGGGACTCTGCTCAGAGACAGGCAGGATAAATCCCTGAGTGCAGTAGTGCATGTGTTGAATTTTTAAGCTCTACCCTAGAGCAGGGCCTGCCTACAAAGTGCAGATGATATCCTTCCACTTGTGAGCAGCATACAGACATTTTATGGCAACTAATTCAATTGTATTTAAGTGCAATTACTTAAGATTTTAAGCACTTAGGGAAATGTACTTAAAGGACATGAAGCATCAGCATGAGGATCTGTCCAGCCTTGTAGCCTGGGCCAATGGCAGACAGGAATGGAAGAACAGAAACAGAGCAAATGACTTGGTTTGATACCATTAAAAAAACTGTTTAATGTCTATTTAGTCTCTCTTGATCCATTTGAGCAGTTGCCTAGGGTTCAGTGCTGTGCTTTGAAAATTCTAGTGTTATGGAGTTTCACAGTGGTGCCAGTAAGAGGTGTGTTCAAAGATTCATCTTTCTGTTATTTCTCAGATGTGATGAGGGACCTGCTACAGAGGAGAGTGAATGTGTTTCTGTCTGTCTGGAACAAGCTGAGAAGCTCACTGGACACCAATGGTGGGTACCTTCCCTTCCCAGCATTGTTCTGAGAGTGATGGAAGCACGAGCTTGCCAGTTGTCAGACAGTTCTCCTCTACTGCTACCCTCCAACAGTTTGAGTTCCTCCCCTCAGCAATGCTAAAACATATCCTCAAAACTGACCTTGGTCACTGAAGGTTTAAGAAGGTCCAGGTGCAAATGGAAGAATTTGTTTCCCTCTTGTTCTGTTCTTGCCTGAACTTGCTCTTTAGTGCTTTTACACAATGGGAAGAGTGCTGCTGTTCTCAGGTCCTGTGCTTTCCTCAGGCCTGGGTCAGCTCAGGAGAGGTTTGTTCATCGTGGGCTGGCTCTGGGCCACCCTGAGCAGTCTTCCCTGTGTTATTTTTTTAGGGGAAATTAAGCTTCCTAAAGGCTACTGTGATGCTGACCTGACCCTGGACAGCAAGCTTGAGGTCCTTCTGCCACGTCGACAGGGGCTGGGCCTCTGCTCCACAGCCCTGACCAGTTACCTCATCAGTCTGCACAATGATTTTATCCACTCTGTGAACAAACACATGAAGGAAGATGATCGGTAGGTGCTGTTCCACTGGGCATCTTCAGTTCTGTAGCATGACTTGCTTGTCAGCTCTCCCTGCTCCACAGAGGCTTCTTGCTCTACATGGAGACTGTTTTCTCCTCTGCAGGTACTTGGTCAGCCCATCAGAAGTGGCTGACCTGCATTTGATCAGTTATGAGGTTGAGAGAGACCTGATTCCTCTGATCTTGTCCAACTGCCAGTACAGCATGGAGAAGGGGGGGGAGACGTTGCAGGACTTTGATCTAGAGAAGATCCAGCAGCAAATCATCAGCAAGTTCCTGCAAGGGAAGCCACTCATCACCCTAAAGGTAGGAGAAGGCAGCTGGCTGTGTCTTCTGCAGACAGCCTGGCTGCTCTTGGAGCCCTGCTGTGTTTGCTGCAGCCAGGCTTGTGCTGTAGCAGGGTAGGCAACATCACCAAAGCTCTACAGCCACGGGTTTCTGTCCTGGCAGGGGATACCCACCCTGGTGTGCAGGCACGACCGGAACTACGAGCAGCTCTTCAGTGATGTCAGGAGCAAGGTGGAGCAGGTGGGTTTGTGCACTGGAGCAAACAGGGCAGTGTGACCTCTGCTGTCCCAAGAACTTTTGGGGTTGTCTTCTGTTGCTTGCCTTGTCCAGCTGAAGGCCTGTCTGCACGTCTCTGCATGCCTTGGGCACGTCCAAACTGGCCTCCTGTTGTCAGTCAGGATTTACAAAGGAAAGGGATAGAGTTAAATGCTTCCACTTCCCTAATTCTGGGGCTCTGTCTTCTGTGACTTAAGCAACTTGAGCAGCAGTAAGAAATGGCTCTAAACTAATATTAACAACTGCTCTGGCCTCATGTTTTTCAGAGTGCTCTCCCCAGTTCTGTGATGAACATGATCAGTGGGGAACTAGTGTCTTACAGTGATGTCTGTGATGCTCTGTCCATCACTGAGATTACCTTGGGATTCCTGGCCATGGCTGGAGAGAATGCTGAGATGCTTCTTGTTGACTACATCAAAAATGTTCTGCAGATGGGTGATCAGACAAACTCTCATGTACTGCAGGTGAGTCCTGAGAGAGATGCTCTTATTTGTACAGGCTAAAATCTGCAATGGCTTATACTGAATCCAGCCAGTCTGATCTCCAAGCCCAGCAAAAGTACAGTTTGAACAGGTATATGATAGAATTCCCTCCCCACCATATCCAACAGACAGGGGGGGAAACAGTTTTCACTTTCCCTGCATCCAGTGTTTGCAAGGTGGGAGCATAAAATAGCTTGTGGTGCTCAGCAGGTTCTTGCAGAAGCATTCAGAAAGGTCTGGCACAGGATATGCAGAAGGTCAAACACTTTTCTGCAGGTCCAAGTTCTTCTGTCAGCACCAGGAAGGAGAGTTCTCTGCTGAGTGTCAGCATAATTAGCTGCAATGCTAAAACTAAGGGAGAATTTGTAATTGTGGATCAGCTTTGAGTGACACTGACTTGCCTGGTGCTGAGCAGGATTGAAAGTATTCCTTCATCTCTCAAAAGTGGTGACAGGGGAAAGCTTTATCTCCCAATAATGTGTGAGAAGAGGCTCTATATGGATAGGGAGCAAAGGCACTGTGTTTGACAAGTGTGTGTGCCATAGTCCTACCACTTTCCCAGTCCCTCTCAGGATACCAAAAAAGGATTATTGCAGGAGAAATGGGGAAGAGGGAGAGAAGCCTATTGCAGGTGGGCTTCTACCCCCAGGTGGAAAGGTCTGCTGAACTCTCTGCTTGTATCCTCTGTAGTCCTGACCTGCCAGGTTTCTGAGGACACCCCTTACCTCCAGGTTCATTGCCTGTGTGTTTGTCTTTCAGGCTCTCAGGCAGTGCCACCTAAAGCACAGCATAGCCCTCTGGCAGCTCCTCTCAACCCACAAGTCTGAGCAGCTTCTGCGCCTCAAGAGGGTAAGATGCACCCAAACCTTCAGTGTCTAGCCAGCTGTCTCCTTCTCTGAATGACCCTGCTCAAATGTAGATGGTTATTTTCCCTTGCTGTATTTTTAGGATCCTTTTGTAGACATCAGTGCAGACTACAAAGCTGAGCTCAGTCCAAAGATTGCCAAGCTCCTCAACACCTTCCTTGTCCACTCAAGACTGGAAACCTTCCTGCAGGAGCTCCATGAAATGATTGTCTTGAGGCTGAGACGTGTCCAAGCTGTGGATATGTTCAGACCCACATGGAGGTAACAGTTATGCACCCAAAAACATCTCACAGCTGTTCTAGTTATTAAACTTCTGACTCTGAAATGCACCCAGTGGAAACAGTTCCCTTGGCAAATCACTGCTGTGCTGGGCACAAAGCAGAGCCAACCATGTGAAGAGCAGGCAGCTTATTTTAAGACACACTGTGTTTCTAGCATGTAGGACTCTTCTTCAGCTTACATGAGTTGTTTTGGGAACACTGTTGGAGTATACCAGGAACAGCATGTTTGTGAGCACTAAACACAAACACTTCTGCAGTCCCTCAGATGAGCACAGCCACAGCCTGGCTCTAGCTGCTTGGTTCTGACCTGCAGCCTCCCATTTCTGGGATCTTCAGTCTCTATAGAATCATAGAATGGTTTAGGCTGGGAAAGACCTTTCAGAGAGACTCCAGCTGCTCTCCCAGCCCTGCCAGGTCCCCACTGCCCCATGTCCCTCACCCCACATCTCCACAGCTTGGGAACCCCTCCAGGGGTGGGGACTCCACCACTGCCCTGGGCAGCCTGGCACAGCCCTGGGCAACCCTCCAGGGCAAGAAATTGTTCCTCAGGGACAACCTCAACCTCCCCTGGGGCAATTTGAGGCAGTTTCCTCTTGTCCTGTCCTTTGTTCCTTGGGAGAAGAGATTGACCCCCATGAACCTGAGTGGCTGTTCAATCCCTCTTACAAACTGTTTTAATACTGTGTATTTAATACTGGTGCTAACCTGTGGTATTTGTAGTTAGCTGTACACCATTTAATGCTGCTTTTTTGGGCTTTGTTTTCCAGCCTGAAGGAATCACTCCTTCCTTACCTCGATGCCAAAGACTCTGAGTTGGCTATAGAGCTGCAGGAGATGTTCCCAGATGAGATTTTCCTCTCTCATGCTACTGCCACCTGGAAAGCAGCTGCTGCCTTCAAACGAGAGCGCAGGGAAAGCTGAGAGCCCTGCAGCAGCCCTCCTGCTACATGGGGAATTCTGGTGCCACTCACCTGTTGGTGGGAAGCTGGAACCTCGGGGGTTGTATTTTGGATTTGTTGCCCGTGTTTGGAATATTTTTTTTTACTACCTTCAGTACCAAAACTATGAGAAGGAGATGCTCTCGTGCATCAGAAGGATGGTGGAGAAACTACTGCAGGCATCATGAACAACCCCGAGCTCACCTCACACACAGATGAAGGATTTACTGTTTTTTACTCTTAGACAGCATCAGCTCCCTCCCTCCGGCGGGGCAGGGGCGGTGCTGCAGCCT